AGCGGCCCCGCGTCAAAATGTTGGGGCCTCAAGAGCAGGCTTGGGATGGTGATGGTGATGGTGGCGGTAGCGGTGATGGTGATGACGGTGGCGATGGTGATGGCGGTGTTGATGCAGGCGGTGGTGATGGTGATCGTGATGATGATGTTTGAATAATTATGATGAAGGTGATGATGCTTGATTGTGATGATAAGTCGTGGCAATAATACTTATGATGGTTATACTGTTGATTGTTGTTGCTGGTGGTGGTGATGAGGAGAATGATAATTAATGATGCTGGTGATGATGGTGATGACGGAAGCAATGGTGATGGTAATTTTGATGGTGCTGGATGTGGTGAAGATGATAGATTGGGGAAGGTGGTCATGAGCTGGTGGGATTTTGGTGACGACGGTGACGGATGGCGATGGCGATGGCGATGGCAATCCCTTCTTGCTCCGACGATCGCTCGCGCCGTCGGTCTCCTACAGCCGCGTCGGTGCCAGCACGGCCGCCACTGCGGCCTGTTGCTCCCTGGCCGGCGTCCTCAAAGTATCCCTGGCGGTGGTTCTATCGCAGAGGCGTCCTGGTTATCGGCGCGCAGGCATCTCCTGGAATACTCCTCCTCTAGCTCCTCCGACGACCAGTCGCTGACGGCGAAGTTCTCGTCGTCGCGGCGTGGTCTTGGAATGCCCTGCGAGTCGACGTCCACGCCCTCGCTGTGTTGGAGCGCCTGGTGGTGCCTCGACCATAAGCTCAGCTGTCATTCGTAGTAGCGGGAGGCTGGATCCTGAGGATCGTTCACCATGGTGGCTAAGATGCTCCTTGCGGCCTCATACGTATCAAACTCATACGTCTCCCATTCCGCAACCCCTGCGGCAGTCACGGCGCCGCCCCTTACGGCCAGGCGCGCCGCTACGGCCATGCGACCCTGCGCAGCTGGCGCCCTCACGCAGGCAATGTGCATGAACTCGATGTCCACCGCATTGTGCCACGCAGCCTGAGCTTCTTGCAGTCGTTGCTCGGCATCGAGCGCGCGCTGCCTTGCGCACATCAGTACACCTGTCGCACGGAGCATCTCCGCGCGACCGATAAGCGAGCGCATCTCGCGCAAGGCGCGCGCGTACGACTCAGGCGGCAAGCCGTCGTCCGACCAGTAAGGCGTTCGCCCATCTCGGTTGGCATGGAAAGCCCCACGGTCGCGCGTGCTCTCCCACCGCTGCGCCCAGCGCCCATCATCGACGAACCCGTGTCCCAGCGATGCGGCTTCCCGCTCCGATTCCGCGGCCTCGGTTACGCTTGCTACGTAGGAGTCCCCCCAGTCTCGTGCATCGTCAAATCTGGGGCCGCCACTGCGGCTTCGTCCTCGGTGACGGGACTAAGCGCAACTTCGCCCTCGGTCACGGGACGAAGCGGAACTTGGCGCCCGCCACTGCGGACATTCCAGACCAACCATCTCGTTTCAGCTGTGGCGGTGACCAACCGCCTCGCGAGCAGCTCGCCCAACTCGGCCCCGTCCACAAGGGAGATGTTGTAGAAATATCCTGTACGGCCCGCGACGCGCGCGGCCGCCAGGAAACGAGCCAGGCGCTTGCGGTCGATGTAATCTGTCCGTAGATCGAGGCCTCGCGGCAGCATGTGTCGCAAATGGGGCCCATTCCACATTCCAGCGTCGCGTCAGGAATGTGGAATGGGACAGCATGCTCGCGGTCGCAGTAGATGCACATGCCGTCGTCGGGCACGCTGCCCATGTGCCTTTGCCAGCAGGCAGCTTCGGCTGCGGTCTGCCACTGCAGGCCTCCCTAGGAGGCGGCCGCCTGGCCGCTGAGCGCGGGCGCGCGGTGGTGCGGTGGCGCCGCTGAACTGGCAACGGCTGCGTGCGCATAATTCACACATGAAACGGCGCATGCATTATTTGGGAAACTATGTGTGTACACGACGGCAATAATTATGACAGGCATGCCCCCTTGTATGTGACCTCGTATGTATATATAATTATGTGCGACTACACATAATTATGTAGTGGTCGTTAAACCATGTCATCGACTACGGTGTAACTACCGAGGCATATGATCACATACCACCATTAATTAGTCTACCAGGCACCTTTCGGGCAGTGATGACAGTGACAACGGCGACGACAGGATATGCTTTTTTCCCCAGCCGAGTCGCGCCACTCTAAGCGCTCTGGCGCGAGCCCGCCCCTTGGCGCCAGCCGCCACTGCGGCTCGTCTTCTGATGCGCCCTCCTCCAGTTGTGCCGCTGCTCGCTCGCAGTCTGCCTCGATCCACGCCCCTGGCAGCCGTGACCTATGAAGACCATGACCTGCTGGATGCCGTGGAGCCAGTGCGAGACGAAGGCGTCGTCCCTGAGCCGCTTGGAGGCCACCTTCCCCGGGTCCGGAAGCGGGCGCAAGCCGTCGCGCGTGTTCTGGAAGAAGTTCTGCCTTGTCTCCGTCAACCTTGCGATGCGGCGTGCCTCGATTGGATCCTCTGGATGCGCGCCCTCTTCGAGCTGTTCGAGCGCTTGTGTAAACAGTACGCCACTGCGCACTGGCCATCGGCACGTCGCCCCGCTGCGGCAGGGAGCTGCAACTGAAACGCTCGAGCCAACTGCGTCCGAACTCGATCGGGGCCCCCGAGGCGACAGGCTGGAGCCACTCTGGTACCGCCACCGCCACCTGCCCTTCTTCCTCTCCGTAGACGGGGCGCTGCGGGTCGCGCGCGCCGAGCACGAGTTGACTACCTACCAGACCACCCCAACCCAACCCGAAGACCCGAATTTCGGGTTGGGGGGGGCAAGGGTTCCACATGTGTTTTTTCAATGTTCCCCGACCCCCCCCCCCCCCCCCCCCCCACACCACTGGAAATCTAAGGTAAATCTGAGCCTTCGGGTTGGGTTGGGGTGGTTTGGTGGGTGGTGACGAGTGCAAAGTTGTGGTGGATGGTATAGTCAAACGCGCCGGGCCCCCAATTTGCGCGGAAGACGGCGCGGAAGGGCTCGCCACCCGCGGCGATGCCGCAACTGCAGCCTATGCGATGCAAGGGGCGGCGGTCGCAGTCGAAGAACCCCGTGAAAATGCGCGCGCTGCAGCGCAGCAGGTCCTCGATATAGCGTCGGCGCAGAACGTGTCGGACCACGCGGAATGAAGGCCGCGGCGGTGGCCGTCACTACGGCCACGGGCGAACCTCCAGCGGGCGGGCACGGCCATTCTGAACTGCGCGCCAGGGTTTGGGCTGGATTCGCGCAGCGCGAAGTCGATGATTGTCATGACGTGCGTGTCGTCTGTGGCGCACGCGTCGCCCTGCTGCGTAACCTTCAACGTCTCGACCACGCGGGGTTGGTAGAGCACGACGCCGTTCCCCTTTTGGAGGTCTACCAGCTCCCAATAGTTGTCGTCTGCTCGTCTTGTTCTGGTCGTTGCCACGTCCACCACTGCGCCCTCCAATTGTACTTTCAGTGCTGCGTGCCTGCGCAGCACTTCCACCGCTTCCGCGCCGCTCTTCTGCGGGTGGTCCAGGAGCAGCGGGTCCCAGATCAGCGCGGGGATGTTGGCTGGGCTCTCGAGCAGTTTTTCGACATCTTCCACTGCGGCCCTGGCCGTCGCCACGGCCGTGAGCAGGGTAAACACTGGATCCGCAGGGACTCGCCGATGCGGACTCCGATCCGGCGCTCGCCTCGCCAGCCAGGGCGCGCGCGCGCCAGCGGAGCGCCGCGCTCCACGAAGTCGCCGAAGTTGCCCCTGCCGTCGTCCACATGGATCCAAGCTCTACCTCTCTGGCCCGTCAAACGCGCGCCCACCTCCGCCGCCCGCGGGGGGCGTGCTCGCGTCGACGCGAGGGCGCCGCGTGCCGCCCGTTTCGGCGCGGGTGGTGCGCAGCTGCTGGGCTTCGGCGTCGTGTGCAGTAGGGCTTCGTAGTTCGGGGGTTCGCCAGGCTGCCGCGGCCCTTTTTTTGCCTGCGGTTCCAAGCGTGCCTTCTTCTCTGGCGGCTCGCCCTGGAGATGCCGCGGCGGGCGGTCAGGCTGCCGCGGCAGCAAGTGCACCTTCGGAACCTGAGTTTGCTGGGAAGGCGCACCTTTCGCCCTCGGCACAAGATGCGCCTTTGGTCCCCCAGGGGCCACCACTGCGGCCTGGAAGCGGCGCGGGGCTAACGGAAGGAACTGCGCGGGAAGAAGCGCGCGGGGCCGAAGGGGGTCTTGCCTTTGAACGAGGAGTCGATACGTCATCTGAGTCGCTCAAATCCACAGCCCCCTTGGGTTTTGCTTTGGGTGGCGGCTTTGGAAAAGCCTCCATCAGCACTGTTGCCGTTTGCTTCGCTCCTGCTGCCTTCTTGGCAAACCCGATCGCAAGGGTCGCCGTCGCAGGCGCGCATCCCGCCTCCGACCACGCGGAGATCCCAGGTGAATATGGCAGGGTTTCGCTGGACGAGCCAGACGAGTCACTCGTTGTCGAGCTTTCGTCGGGAGCGGCCTTTGGGGGCGAACGCAGAACTGCGTTTCCGAAAGCTGTCTCGCCTGGGGCTTTGCTGGAGGCCGCCGCTGCAGCCTTGTTGCCCGAGGCGTGACAGGGCGCCGCCGTCGATTCCGTCGGGCCCGCCCCTTGAGCCAAGGGGGGCCACGCGGCCAGCGGCCAGCTGTTGGAGCCGCGCGCGCGGTCGAGGTGGGGACAGGACAGGCAAGATGGCAGACGTCATTGTTAATTATCAGCATTGTCATCACCGATGTCGTCGGCGTCGATATCGCCATCGCCATCGCCAACCTCACCGCGATCACCATCGTCATCACCAATATCACCATCGCCATCGTTAATCATCATTATCGTCATGTATGAACGCCATCGCCCTCATTTTCGTCATCGTTTCATCGTCATCATCATCGACGCCAACGTCATCGCGGTCGCTGTTATCTGATGGTGGCGGAGGGAAAAAATATACTAATAATGCTAATGATAGTGGCGGAAGCTGGTCTGCGATGCCTACAACTGGCGGCCGCCGCTACGGCCTACGCTGCCACCTTATCACTGGTCGCGGCCCGACTGGTAGCCCAAGTCGCCTGGAGGCATCCCGTCGCCGCGCTCTCTGTCGACCCTGCCAGTCCCCGCCCTGTCGATGTGCTTGCAGTACTTGCACGTGCAAGCGCAATTACTGCCGCCGCAACCATCCCTGGGTGGAGGCACGGCAGATGCGCGCGGGTCCGCCTCGCACAAGTCGAAATCCTTGGATTTCCAATTGGGGTGGAAGCGGACAACCGAGAAGTCCTTGCGGTAGATCACGAAGTCGTAGTTGTCCTGGTGTTCGCCGCGTTCGTCGCCCCTGTGGTGCCAGGAGGCGAAGCAGCGCTGGTGGTCGCAGCTTTTGGGGCGGGCGGACACCACGCACCGAACGAGGCCGCCACTGCAACCATCAGGCCCGCTGGCCACCTGCGCCCTAGTTTCTGGGCCCATCTGAGCGACCATCTCCAGCCAGCTCCACGAGACTTCCTCGCCGCCCCAGATGTCGTAGTGCATGTTGTGTTGTCATCTCTTCTTAGGCGGTTCCCAGATTTTGCCGATCTGCATGGTTGCCTCACGGACGACATCTCCTCCCGTGGTTTCGGCCACGCGGCGCGACCACTTCAGCGCAGCGTTGCGCTGGCGGCACGAGGCCGTGATCGGGCGATTTTCGAAAACGCATAGGTCGACCGCCCTTGCGGGCGCCGCCACTGCGGCGGCGCTCTCTTGCCCGACCTCGGCGACAGGGGCTCTGTCTCGCGAGCGTTCCTCGAGCATCTTTGCGGGCGGCGGGGGTTCCCAGAGACGCAACTGCGTCGAGGGGCGGCGGGGCTGCGTCGCGCTTCGGGGTGGCAGCCAGGGGGGCTGGCGGCTGCGGTCCTGCCGTTGGCGGCGGCGCTGCCGCTGCTGGTTCGAGGGTCGATGTCCAACGGCTTGAGGGGCCGCCCGTGGACGACGGGCGGGCCGCCGCTGCGGCCTGGACTGGACTGGCCTGGCGGCGTCGAAGTCCGCGGTCGTCCTTCAGTTGTTCGAGCGGGCACTGGTTCACTGCCCCACGGGCAAGCTCCTCCTCGCGCCGGGCCTCCTGCCGCGCATTCCACCAGTCTCGCGTCTCCCACCACCCGTTGTCCCAGCCCTTCCAGCTGTCCCAACCGCTCCACGGGCCACCCCGCCACTGCCCCTCCTCGTGGCCGCCAGCGCGGCCCACTTGCGCCCAATCGTCCGACTCCTCCTCGGCCGCCACTGCGGCCTCTTGGCCGCCACTGCGGCCTGCGTGCGCCATGGGCGCGGGGCTTCCCGCCGCCATCTCGTTGCCCTCGGCCACGGAGGGGAGGTCTGGACCGAGTGGCCGCGGGCGCCTAGCGGACAGGGGCCGCGGGCGCCGACTGCGGTCCGCGTGGGCCTCGGCGAGCGCCGCGCGGGGGTCCGCCGCGGAGCTCGTGGCTTGAGCTTGCTCGGTGGGGAAAAGCTACAGGCAAGAGGAAGAGAAAGAAGACATAACATGGGAGGAGATGGGAAGACGGAGCGAGAAGGCGAGAACCGAAATAAAAAGAGAGTAAGGGAGAGAGAGAGAGAGAGAGAGAGAGAGGGAGAGAGAGAGAGAGAGGGAGACAAAAAGAGAGAGAGAGAGAGAAAGAGAGAGTGAGTGAAAGATAGGGAGAGAAGATAGAGAGATGAGAAACAACATAATTATAGAGAAAGAGAGAGAGAGAGAGAGAAATAATGAGAAAGAGAGAGAGAGAGAGAGAGAGAGAGAGAAAGAGAGAGGGAGAGAGAAAGAGAGAGGGAGAGAAAACGAAAAAGAGAGGGAGAGAGAAACAAAACACAAAAAAAACGGAAAGGAAGTGTGAACCCAAACGGGGTGAAATGCGTCACCGCGAAGATATCGTCACGAAACTACCACATGTTTACGATATTGCTGGACGCTGAGAAGCAAACGAAAGTGCGCATACGAGACACACGAAAATGCGCAAACGAACAACAAATCAAAACATAAAGTATAACAAAAAGCTCAAAAACTAGTGAGAACGAGACAGACAGACCGAGACAGAGAGACAGAAACAGAGAGACAATGGTCCGATCTCAAAACAACATACCTTTTTCAAATACCGAAGGTTGGGGGGGGGCAAAACCCCAGGAGCGCAGCAACCCCTCTTAGAGGGGTTGCAGAATTCCCAGGGGGGCTGCGCTTAAAATTTGAAATTCAATGTTTTATTATGGCTGTTGGATTAAGCACTACCGCGGGGCAAACCGCCGGCGGGTCGCTCAGCGCAAAATGCTGGATGACCAAGGCCTCAAGGTGTCGAGCCGATGGACCTGCGACTGGAGGAGCCAGCTTGGCCGTGGACCTCTGACAGGGCTGCCGAACGGGACGGGTGCCCAAGCGGGGGCAGCGGCGACGCCAGCCAGGCGAAACTCGGGGAACAGGTCCTGCCGAGGAGCACCTTCAGGACCCGGAGCTGTCGGACCAGCACCCTAGCTGGAGCCTTCGATAACAGAGCTGGCGTGCCGGACCGATGTGCAGGCCAGAACAGGCAGCGGCGATGCAGCCAGCCAGACTTGACCCAGGGACCAGGTCTTCTCGAAGAGCACCAGCGGCGGCCATGGCGGCCGACTGAAGGGGGGTCGACGAGAAGGGGGGCGGAGGAAAGCGGTGAGGAGGAGACGCCACGAGGAGCGGACGAAGAGGGCACCCAACCAGTGCCAGGCCGGAGAGCCAGGATAGACCTCCACGCAGCCAGCGCCCTATGAAGATAGTTACACGAGTCGAGCTTTCCCCCTGACCCAAACGTTGTCCCCTGATATTGTTGTGTGTTATTTCCAATAACGGTCGTGACACGGTGGGGAGGGAGGGTGGGCCCGGGTGACAGGAACGCTTGGGCGGAGTGGGGCACGTCCAGGGGGGGGGGGGAGGGAGGGCGCGTTTCGATCGCCAGAGTACGCACGCGAGCACCAGCATGTGGGGGTCTCCAGGCCCCCCTCTACGCAGAATCGTCATCGCTACCCAGGGGGTAGGAGCTTTAGACAAGCGCGTTCCACTGCTCGCGAAGTAGCGACTCGCAAATGGCCTGGATCCGCCGCGGGGGATTTACGCCATCGCGTCGAGGCACGTGTGTGTGTATGTGTATGTGTATGTGTATGTGTATGTGTATGTGTATGTGTATGTGTATGTGTATGTGTATGTGTATGTGTATGTGTATGTGTATGTGTATGTGTATGTGTATGTGTATGTGTATGTGTATGTGTATGTGTATGTGATGTGTATGTGTATGTGTATGTGTATGTGTATGTGTATGTGTATGTGTATGTGTATGTGTATGTGTATGTGTGTATGTGTATGTGTATGTGTATGTGTATGTGAATGTGTATGTGTATGTGTATGTGTATGTGTATGTGTATGTGTAT